GCATCTTCATGTTTTCGTACAAGGTACAAAAAATTTGAAAATAATATAGAGAAAGGGAAAGTAGAGTCATGTTCTTATTACCACGAATGTTTTTTTTCTGATGTTTAGCTTATATCAACAAGGATTTGCTTTATACATGTTTAATCTCTCGTTGATAAGTTCATGAATTAAAATATTGAAGTTAACAAGGATTTGCTTTATACATGCTTCTATCAACAAGGATATTGCTTAGTTTCGAAGAAGAGCTCAAAGAAGAAGCGTTTAATGACGGCGCATCCGTATCCAATAGAGAAGACAATGAAATTGTCCGAAGAAGTCCGACATTATAGCAACTCTTTGATTCGGTTTCCATATTATCATCCTCGTGACAAATCCGACGACCATATGGACACGTTAGCATGAATAAGTTAGCGTGTACATTAGAGTTAGTGTACAAAGTTAGGATCGATAATTTGCAATCATATGGATAAAGTATTATGTTTCGCAAGATTTATTCATAGTTTATCAGTCCACGTGGATGAGACAAATGGTCAGTGCTTCGTGGTCATGTATCACCCAATGCTAAACCCACCATTGTTGTTCATTTCCAATTCATGAGTTTTGACTAAAATGAATGCTTTTAGACAGAGTTATAGGAGATTCATGAAGTGTTATGTAATGTTTTAGAAGAAATATCTATAGAAAAGCAGCGTCATGAGAAGTGTTGTTCATAGAAACATGTCTACAATAACTTAGAAAGTTTTTCTAAATGTGACTCTTTATGTTTTGATCCACAAACAACGAAGCAATGACAGTATCCATATGGACAGCTCCTTAAAACCGAACTACCAAAATACGAATCAAATTGAAAAATTCAAAAACAAAAAAAAAACTTAGCAGTTTAGATCCGTTGTTGCTTCTCCGATCTCCACCGGCGAAGATGAGTTGGAGATGTTGATGACTCTTCTCCGTATAAACTCTAATCGTTTGACCAACTTCTAATATCAATTCTTATCCACGAGACTTATGTCCATCGAACCGTATCCACGACATCATGCCCGTCGAACTTATGTACATCAAACCGTATCCACAAAATCATGTCCATTAAACCGTATCCACACCATCACAGTCGTAGGAACTTCTGTCCACCAATCCTTATCCATGAGAAGGTTCCAAACCAAATGCTTCCTTTGCATTACTCTCTTCTTCACCCACCTCAGAAACTTATATCTAAATTCATAGCCTATGTATTTTAATTTTGTCTAAATTTACCAACTCTTCTTCGTGTATACCCATAAATATAAGAACAAGAGTTTGAAAAGACAAAGAGAGAGGAGTTCGATTCAACCAACTATATGGCCTTTGACCATGGCATACTGTCCATCTTACCATATCCACTTCCTCTTGATAACATTGGATATGATGCCTTTGACCATTAAATCATTTTAACAGGGACAATATTTAAGAAACAAATAAGTAGGAACTAAGTAGTTAACAAAAGCGAGTCCTCCCCTTTTGTGGGCTTAAGACTCTCCCTTTCATTAAGAGTATCTGCTCTTGATAGGAAGTGAGCTTTGGGGCACTAAAACACTTTTTTATCTCTAATTTGTGTGGATAAGAGTGTTTTTTAGCACTTTTAACGAAGATCTTTCACTATTACTAGGGTTTGTTCCTCAAAATATCTTCAAACTTTCAATCTTTCCACTCGTTTTCTTGAGATTCACAGCTTGCTCTACTACTCTGTTTTCTTCTCTAAGTCTCGAAGCTCTGTTTCACTGGCTTTCTGTTTTTCACCTGTAAAATGGCTGACATAATGGGAGATGCGATGGCTAAATTGAACATCGAGGATGAAGAGGTTCCAGCGATTATGCCTGATTTGCCTGAGTTCTCGTCTGCGGCTAACAATGCCAACAATATTCTC